TTGGATTTCGGTTAGCCAAATTTCTTTAATTTGGCTCGGTGTGCCGATGTTAGGTGTGTTGGCAATGCTTTAGCTCCTTCCCGTTCAGCGTTTGGTTCTTCCATTACACCCACCCAGGTGGAAGGGCCAGGCGTTGGGGGCTAATGCAGTCGGTTTTAGGTCGGCTCTAAGTGGGTGGGATGGTTGGCTACGGTTTTGTGTGGTCTTGCATGGCACTATTCGACGCGACTGTCATGGGCACCAGGCATTTGCTGGTGGGCTGATTGCCGAGTTAAAAACTTGGCCTTTGGTCTGTTGGTGGGTTGTGCGGTGTGTATGAACTTTGCGATGCGTAATTGTGTGTGAGATGTATTTGGTTTTCATGGTCAGGTTTGATCCTTGCTGTAGCAGCGAAAACTTGCCGTGAAAGCCTTTTCAATATGGTGGGATCCGCCTTTGTTTGCAATGGTTTCCTTTGTTCTGTACCCTTTCGGTGGCATCCTTACGTTCTAACTGCTGAGTTCTGTCGTGTGCCTTCCCGTTTGGGAACCAAAGGGTTGGCATTCGATTGACGCCATGGCACTGCTTGTGGTACACTATCTGTTGGCTTTTTCCCAGAAAGTTTTGGCCCATTGGTTGCTGTTGAGTGCTCGGGTTTGGTACACTGATGGGCACTGGTTAAGAATTCTCTGTTAGCCTAATTCCGCCCCTCAAGTATTTTTTCCCAGGGTTCCCTGGTTCATTATTGGCTTCACCTTCACTTTTGTGATTGTGTTTCCCTCCGTATGACCGCCTATGATGAGTTGAGTTCGCTTTCGGTTTTGGCTTGTCAAGGTGCATTGAGGAATGATACCTGGTTGATCCTGCCAGTAGTCATATGATTGTCTCAAAGGTTAAGCCATGCATGTGTAAGTATGAACAAATTCAGACTGTGAAACTGCGAATGGCTCATTAAATCAGTAGTAGTTTGTTTGATGGTACCTACTACTCGGATAACCGTAGTAAATCTAGAGCTAATACGTGCAACAACTCCTAACTCTTGGAAGGGATGCATTTATTAGATAGAAGGTCAATGCGGGTTTTCCCCGTCTTACGATGATTCATGATAACTTGACGGATCGCAAGGCCATAGTGCTGGCGACGCATCATTCAAATTTCTCCCCTATCAACTTTCGATGGTAGGATAGTGGCCTACTGTTAGACCCTTAAAATCAGGATGGTTTGGCAACGCCAAGATGGCCTTGGCTTGGCGTTGGCCAGTGTTGATCAAGGTCGGGTACTGGCTGGGATAGCACGATTGGCTCCGAGGGAAGGATGGCTAAGGTTGTTGCTGATCCTAAGCCGAACCATGGGGCGGGAGTCACTGGCAGGGTTGGCCAGACTTGCAGGAACGAAGTGGCTCACGTGTGGTTCGGTGGAAAACGAAGTTGGCTCAAGTTGGCTCACGGCTGGCTCAGTGATGGGGGCGCGGCGTGGGGTGCGGCTTGGACCAGAGTGGCTTTGGGTGGAAGCCACGGGTTGGCTAAGGATGCATGGCCAGGGGGGCGTGGCAGTTACCAGGCGGGCAGTGCCATTTGAAATTCAAAAGGGCGGTTGGCTTTTGAATTTGAACCAGGGGCGGTTTGGCATTGGTGTCCCTTCATGAAGGGTCGTGTCTGGCTAGATGGTTGGCCTGTAACCATCACGGTTTTGCCTATATATATGACTGCCCATGGCATGTGTTAGCCAAGCGAGAAAAGGGCTAAAAATAGAGTTGTTTGGCTGTTCCTTTGTATTATACGAGTCTAATACAAAGTTGGTTATTTACTGTAAATTTGTGTTCGTTGTGTTCTTGAATATATTCTGTCCCTAAGAAAAGTTAAGGCTGACTATTTTGTGAGACAAAATAGGCCGTACGGGTTTGAAAAACGTGATTGAAAAATCAGCCCCGTAACAGTTGGTATCAGAGCCGAAGTTGTTCCTGATTCTCGAAGATGGAGACCCCGAAGCGCAATGACCCTGAACAGTCGGATGTACAGGATGACGATAAGGATAATGCTGCTGACTTTATTCGGCATCTAATTGGTGAAGAATTAGTTGGCGTAAATAAAAGGCTTCATAGCCTTGGCAAGGACATGGAAGCGTGTCAGGCAGAGAACAATTCCCTTAAGACAGAACAATTGATTTTGAAGCAGGCCGTGTCGGCAACGGCGAGGACAGGTATGGATGTCGCTCCTTCAAAGATCAAAGTTCCAGAGCCTAAGCACTTTGATGGGGCTAGGAACGCTAAGGAATTGGAGAATTTCTTGTGGGACATGGAAGAATATTTCAAGGCTGCCAAGATCCCAGAAGGGGAGAAGGTTTCGATCGCCTCGATGTACTTGATGGGGGATGCGAAACTTTGGTGGCGTGGCAGAGTCATTGATGATGCAAACTCTGGCCGGATGGGGATTGAGTCGTGGGAGGGACTCAAGAAGGAATTGAAGACCCAATTCTTGCCCCACAACGTGTCGTGGATGGCACGTGAGAATCTGAAGAAGTTGAAGCAGACCGGATCCTTGCGGGAATATGTTAAAGAGTTTTCTTCACTCATGTTAGATATTTAGAAAATGAGTGAGGAGGATAAACTCTTTAATTTCATGTTTGGATTACAAAATTGGGCACAGGCCGAACTGAGAAGGTTGGCAGTGAAGGACTTGCCTACTGCCATGGCCGAGGCGGAAAGCTTGGTGGACTTCAAGACAATGGCGCCCCAAGGAAAGAAAGGGGACCATCCTAAGAAGGAGGGGAAGGCTAAGTTTGAGGGGAAAACCAAGTTTAAGAAGAAAGGTGGAGATGGCAAGGCACCTGCGGAAGGCAGGAATAAGGAAAAAGCACAAGCCGGTGGGTGTTGGACGTGTGGTGGTGATCACTTCCAACGCAACTGTCCAAAAGGTCCAAAGATCAATTCCATGGTCGAGGAGGCGACTGGGGTAAGTAATTCTGTTCCGGCTCGGTGTAGTCCTTTGCAGTTGATGTCTGCCATGAACGAATCTGCCCAGAATTTTGTGAATCGTGGATTGATGTATGTGTTGGTTGTGGTCAATGGCGTGGAGTTGTTGGCCATGATTGACACGGGTGCTAGTCACAATTTTGTGACTGAACGGTTGATTGGACGACTTCAACTTAAATTGGAAGGGAATTCATCTATGATCAAGACCGTGAATGCCGCAGCGAAGGAGGTCACTGGGCGGGCATACGTCAAGATCAAAGTTGGGGAATGGCAAGGAGAATGCAGTCTCACGGTGTTGCCCCTTGATGACTTTGATTTGATCTTGGGGAATGAATTCCTAATTATGGTTAAGGCAGCTGTATTCCCTTACCTTGGAGGGATGATGATAAATGATGAGCGTTCGCCTTCATTTGTGAAGGGACGCTATGCTGATCAGAAACAGGAACACAAAGGTTTGGCCTCATGCTCGGCAATGCAACTCAAGAGGGGAGTGCGTTCGGGCTACCAAACCTACCTTGCTGTTATGATGGAAATAAAGGAAGGTGTCTTTCAAGATGTCCTAGACAAAGTGGCGGAACTACTTGAAGAATTCAGTGATGTGATGCCACCAGAATTGCCGAAGAAGTTGCCTCCAAAGCGGGCAGTGGATCACCGGATCGAGTTAAAACCGGGTACGAGGCCACCTGCTCGTGCACCTTACAGGATGTGTCCTGCGGAACTGATGGAGTTGCGAATCCAATTGAAGGAGTTGCTGGACAGTGGGCTAATCCAACCTTCAAAAGCCCCTTATGGTGCGCCGGTGCTATTCCAAAAGAAGCAAGATGGCTCCCTAAGGATGTGTGCGGACTATAGGGCGCTGAACAAGGTGACGATTAAGAACAAGTATCCTATTCCAAATGCACAGGACTTGTTTGACAAATTGTCCAAGGCTCGGTTCTTCACAAAGTTGGATTTAAGGTCGGGCTATTGGCAAGTTTAGATTAGTGCTGGGGACGAGGGAAAGACAACGATTGTAACAAGGTATGGTTCGTTTGAGTTTTTGGTCATGTCATTTGGTTTGTCAAATGCTCCGGCTACTTTTTGCAATCTTATGAATGATGTTCTGTATGAGTTTCTGGATCGGTTTGTCGTGGTTTATTTAGATGACATTGTGGTTTACTCTGAGTCATTTGAGGACCACCTTGTGCATCTAAGGAAGGTTTTCCAACAACTCCGGAGTCATGAGTTGTATGTGAAGAAAGAGAAGTGTGAGTTTTGCACTTCAGAGATTTCATTCTTGGGCCATATGATCAGACATGGGGAGATCTTGATGGACAAGAGGAAGATTGAAGCCATAGTAGGGTGGCCAAGTCTGNCTTTTTGCAATCTTATGAATGATGTTCTGTATGAGTTTCTGGATCGGTTTGTCGTGGTTTATTTAGATGACATTGTGGTTTACTCTGAGTCATTTGAGGACCACCTTGTGCATCTAAGGAAGGTTTTCCAACAACTCCGGAGTCATGAGTTGTATGTGAAGAAAGAGAAGTGTGAGTTTTGCACTTCAGAGATTTCATTCTTGGGCCATATGATCAGACATGGGGAGATCTTGATGGACAAGAGGAAGATTGAAGCCATAGTAGGGTGGCCAAGTCTGAGGGACGTTGGTCAACTACGATCATTTTTGGGACTGGCTAATTACTACCGAAGATTCATTGACGGTTACTCAAGGAGGGCAGGTGTGTTGACAGATCTGACTAAGAAAAAGCAACCATGGGTCTGGTCAGAGGCATGCGAAAGGGCCTTTGAAGACTTGAAACAGGCTGTGGCAAGTGAACCAGTGTTGAAGTTGCCTGATTTTAGTGTTCCCTTTGAAGTACACACCGATGCATCTGATCGGGCTTTGGGAGGAGTTCTTGTGCAGGACAGCCATCCCATTGCCTTTGAAAGTAGGAAACTTAAGGATGCGGAAACCTGTTACAGTGCTCATGAGAAGGAGATGACTGCAGTTGTTCATTGTTTGGAAGTGTGGCGGCATTACTTGTTAGGCACCAAGTTCATTGTGGTGACTGAC